TGAACAGAACACCTAAATTCCATCTCCCAGTCAATCAATCACACTAAGTGAAGGAACACCCTAGAAAGGCGGGGTATAGTATGTCCTGAAAAGCTTTGGTCATCCTTGAAGCTCAGTAGAGGGACCTGAAAAATGCAGATACCACACTTAATAGACAAGCATCTGAAGCAGTCTACAGATGAAACCCTTTAGCTCTCCGGAGGGAGGTGAAAGGAAGAGACCCCCCACCAAAGACTAGCTTGATTTCCCTTGTGAATAGCCCACTGCTCCCTGGGAGAACATGAGGGCTGCAGGTTCCTTCCCTCTTCAGAACCCCAACACTAGGGTTGGCAGGGTGGGTGTGCTTGCACACGTGTTTTTACAGACAGTAGTAGACGTGGACCATCTTCCTGACAGCTCCGTGAACTGTGAAAGAGTCAGACGCAAAAACAGGGTATCGGCACTGTGCCGGTGGAGAAGAAAGGCATAAGCCCTTCAAAGTGACAGGTGATTTAAAAGTCACGTGGGACTGGCATTTCTGCTCATGAGGGGCGTGCTTATGCATGATGAATGGGTAAAGGCTCTTGTCATCATGAGGGGCATGATTTTGCAATGATGAATTGGGGAGCAATAACTTTGTGTTATCAGCGTTCCTCAGAAGCAAACATCCCACATGCCATGCCTTGACATCCACCAGCCTCTAGCCTGGACTAACCCTGACCTGTCAGAAGCCAGGCACTGTGGACAGAGGTAGCTGTGAAGAGCTAGGGGCAGACTGCTGGGGAGCAGACAAAGCAGGAGGAGGTGCATTAGGTAGGATGCCAGAGAGCCCCATGTTTTGAGTCAATGAGGTGCCCTTCTGTAGAGACACATGTAACCAAAGCATGTGACCAATTGCAACACTTAGGCACTACTCCAGACATGCAAAGTCAGGCACTACATAGAACACTTAGCAGTTCTAGAATCTACAGGTGTCTGCTGCTGGGTCCCTAAGAGCCTCTTTCCAAGCTGTGCCAAGCGATGCCAAGCATTACTACACAATGGTGATGGCTGCCTGCCACCCTGAGACTGAGTGGCTTGGTCAGGAGGATCGTGAGACCGAGACTAGCCTGGGCTACATAGAGACTCTCTCAAAAACAAAGCACAATTTAAAAACGCCTGTTTCCTTCTTCTCTGGCAAGCTTCTCTAAGACATTAAGATAGAGCTGTAGTTATACAGTGCGGGAAAGGCAAGTCTCCATAGCAACCTGTGGCTGATGCCTGTTACCTAGATGCTGCTCATTTAAGTGAATGGGAGACTCTTGTTTAGCTAACTTTCTCATCAATTGAGACTTAACCAGAAATTGCTTGGGGGAAAGTTTTAAGTGGGAAATAGTTTTAAAATGTTAACTTTCTTGTCTTAGCAAGAACAGCTGAACAGTGGGGCAGGCACTCCATTTGGTGAACTGGGACTCTGCATGGCCTAAGGCTTGGTTTTCTTGGTCCACAACGATGATTTATGCCTCCTCTCTAAACTGACATGTATCACCCTGGAAGGTGATATTCTTGGTCTTTCTCTTTCTCTCTCCCCTGCCTTATAATTAAAAGCACATAGCATTGTAAACTTGACCCACTTAACCAAGCCTTTTGTGAAGGAAAAGGAGCAGCAATGATTAGTTGATTGGCAGAGGGCTTGTCTCTAGGAGTCCAAAGAGGCTTGAAGTTAGTATCTCGAGGGACAATTAGGTCTACTTGAGAATGTATATATTCAGGAGGGAAGTTAGGTAAACGCAATAGGGAGGCAGACACATGTTCATGACTTTGCACAAAATACCCCTAAGGTATCTCCAAGAGATTCAATTTTAATAACATCAAAACTGGTATTTGAGATGGTCGTGCTGGCATAGACTTTAATCCCAGCACTCAGGAGGCAAAGACGTGTGGATCCCCGAGTTGAGGCCAGGCTGGTCTACTGAGCGAGTTCCAGGACATCCAGGGCTACACAAAGAAACCATCTCCAAACACAAAGAGTAGTATTTGTCACATAGTGGGTGCTCAATGGATATTCACCAATGACTGCGGGTCTGCACACACATCCGTTCTACGCACCATCCAGTATTTATCTACTTGTCCTAAGGAGAATTGGTGGTAAATAAGATGCAGCCCCTTACATAGAATTGCATCTGTCTCAATGGACTGTGTGATGGAGGGAGACTAAGAGACAGACTACAAAATAGCCAGACTACAGATTACCTTCTCATTGCTGTACCTTGGATATAGTTTGCCCTCAGACAGCTCATATGCTGGGGCCTTGGTTCCCACGGTGATAGTATTTAGATGGTGGGACCTTGAAGAGCTGGAGCCTAATGGAAGGTATTACATTAAGGATCCCACCCTCAGAAGGAATGAAAGCTGGTGTTGCAGAATGGACTGGGTCTTGCGGGAGCGGCTGGATTCCTTAAAGCGCGTCTGGTTTTTCCTTGGTCTCTTGCTTCCTGTCTTTTTTTTTTATTATTTATTTATTTATTTATTTATTTTTTATTTATTTTTTTTTCTGTTTGTATGTCTGCAGGCCAGATGAGGGCACCAGACCTCATTACAGATGGTTGTGAGCCACCATGTGGTTGCCGGGAATTGAACTCAGGACCTTTGGAAGAGCAAGCAATGCTCTTTAACCACTGAGCCATCTCTCCAGCCCCTCTTGCTTCCTGTCTTATGTGTGAAACCCTCCCCAGGTGATGGAGGAAGGTCACTGGTTAATTAATAAAGAAATTGCTTGGCCCTGATAGGTTAGAACATAGGTGGGTGGAGTAAACAGAACAGAATGCTGGGAGGAAGAGGAGGTGAGGTAAGACACCTCAGACAGATGCCATGCAGCTCATCGCCAGGGCAGACACGATGAAGCTCCGACCCAGGATGGACGTAGGCTAGAATCTTCCTGGTAAGCACACCTCGTGGTGCTACACACATTAATAGAAACGGGCCAAGCAGTGTTTATATGAATAGTTTGTGTGTTGTTATTTTGGGGCATAAGCTAGCCAGGTGGCCAGGAGCTGGGTGGCAGGAACGCAGCCCAGCTCCCACTATACCCAGGTACCTCTGAAATGTGCTGTCCCCCTGAAGTCCTCATCAGAAGGCAAATAAATACTGGTAACATGCTCTACACCCCCAGAACTATCAGCAACAAATCTCCTATTTTTATCTTAGCCTTGGGTATTATGTTAGAGCAACATAAAACAGACCAAGATATCCCTCTAGCTCCACTACCCTGCATACCTTTAGCCTTTGGCAAATCCTGGTTACTTGCTCCATTGAAAACCCAGTCGGTATGCTTCCAAAAGGGAGTTTTCATTTTCCTGTCCAGATGGGTGTAGACGCTGGTTCCTGCCACAGCAGAACAGACTGGCTCGTCAGTGATTTCTTCTGAGATGGTTTAGGTTTGTTTTCTTGGTATTTGGCCGAATTAAAGCTTTTCCAATCCTTCCCCATTCCTACTCGTTATTCTTCACATTTTCTCTCTTTTGAACATCTTTACTCAGATGTTTCAAGGGAGTAAACGTGAGGCTGTGGCCACTTCAAGGTTGGGATCTCCCGGGTGGCAAGAAATGTTCAGCATGCTCAACTCTGGACACCCGTGACAATGCTGTTTCGGGACAATTCTCCCTGCCATGTCCTCTTGCTGCGTTTCAGAGTAAAATAAAACTTCTCTGGAAACTTAAATTAGGGACCCATGAAAGACTTTGGACATAAACCATCTTTAGAGAGAGCCATGAACATTTAAAACACGCAGGTGGCTCTCCTTCCATTTCTGTTTGTGTGGTTTGTTTTGACAATGTCTCACTGACTCAATTCAGTTACTCCCCTACTCCAGCTTCCTCAGTGCTCGGACTATAGACGAGAGCCACCATACCCGACTTCAGTAGCATACTCTAGCAGATGGCCTGGAACTCGTAGAACCATTTCTTACTGCCATCAGATTTATTTCTGTTTTTTAACTATACTCAGTTGTATGGACTTTTAGGTAAAAACCTAAAATGTTTGTATTTTTTACATCGTTCTCTTAGCGTCTAATCTGGTGACATTCAGGACTGGGCCTTTGCATGTGTGACCCTGTATCTGCAATGTGCTCCTCACAACTTCTCCTTCTCCACCGAATCATGACGGTCCGTCACATTCTCCAGCCACAGTGGTCACGTCACCCTGTGGGAGCCACTGCATCTGCAGATCCAGAGGGACAGAAATGGCAGTCGCTTGCCGCTGTCATCCCATGTTTGCACAAACCAGAGATCAGGAACCACGATTCCCATTCTACACCGGAAAGGTGATCTGCCCGAAGTCACGCAGTAAGGTGGGAAGCAAATGGGATAGAAGAGCAGGTTGGATAGCCACATGCCTCCCAGGGCTTGGCTCACAGCATCAGACTCAAATGCTCACACTTTGAGGAAAGTCGTTTTGAGGCTGGTGCAACTCAGGAACCACAAGATCAAAGGTCCATAGTCACATTCACTTTTTAGTAAATGCTCCTGTCTCAGAGACAACACCAGTTATTACAGCTCCCCGACAAGAAGGGAATGTGAGGGGAAAACCACCCATTCAGGAAACAAACCTTGGTACATAGCTCCTTTCCGGGCTTCACATTATCTCACACGTGACACCTAAGCACGGCTGTCTGCGACACAGGACTACTCTTAGCATGTGATGGGGTAGGGTCGATGAGGGGTGTGGGCAATAACCTGTCACTTTAGGGACGACTCTGCCAGCAGAACACACACAAAACACATCTAACGCAGGACATCTCTACCCTGATCCCTGTCTTTTTGGTACTTTTTTTTTTTTTTACTTCCTGACCTTGATTAATGCAAAAAAAGGTTGATTGACTTTCCACTTTCCCTGGTGAAGATGCAACCGAGAGGGTAAGAGTGGGGTCAGTTTCAGCTTCGTGGAAGGAGCACTGTATGGGTTAAAACTGCCTAGTGATAACTGAACCTTCTGACCAGGAAGTGGCTTGGCATTGCAAGTACCTCCGCCACACACACCACACACACACACACATACACACACACACACACCTCACACACTAGATGACCATCTCTCTGTGATGAACTACCCTGTCTAATGCCAGGAACCCATATTACCAGAAACAAACTAGGCTCAAAGCAGTCCTCCTGCCTCCCAACTCCAGGTCAAGAAAGGCACAACGGAGACCAACGGACAACACTGTAGTGGTGCTTTGGATCCAGGAGACCTTGAGGTACCAGAAGAGTTCTGATGGCCCCATCTGGCAGATGGGAAAGGTGAGGCACCAAGAGACTGATTAAATACTTCAGGTATAAATGAGAGGGTACCAGGAATTTAAAGAGGGAAGACTCTTACTTTCCTAGGGAAGAGTGATACCCTACCAACGCCAGCACAACGCAACGCAGAGGCAATTCTAGCCCTTCAGCCGCCACAGCCACGCAGCCAAGGATGCTAAATTGTCCTCCGGGCACTGAACTGTTTCACAGAGGGAATCCTACGCACTCCAGATCCCTCAGGGTTTCACCCTTGAGACTTCATTCAAGGCTGGAGCTTTAGGCAAGAATGGCCTGGGCAGGCACAGAAGGTAGCTCTGCTTCGTAAGGCAATAGCTTCTGTCTGCAGGAGCTGGCCCCACACAGGGACGCGGCCATCAGACACTGCCTCCACTGAACTACATCACCATCCACGGAAGCCTCACGGGGTGGAACACTGCTGCCTAAGGAAACCACCACCTCCGGGGAGGTGAAGGGATGGAGGGCTTCCATGAAAGCTAAACAGCATCACCAATCTGACCCATTTCCCATGCCGCGTGGGAGAATAGATGATTATTATCTGCAGATGATTGTCTAACTAGAAAGCCTAGGGACTCAACTGAAAAAGATTATGGGAACAGGAGAATTTGTTCAGGTGTCCGATTAACAGTCCAGTGCTCAAAACCATAGCTTTTGTGATCATTTGTGCATGAACTAACATCTTCGAAGAGCTGTGCTTTCTTGGGAGACTTTAAGTTCTGTGCAACTTGTATTTTGGAAGAGAGAGGTGAGTCTGGGCTATTATCTCCTCGGCTGCTCCAAGTGAAAATCATCTTAGACACAAATGTCAGAAAGATGGCCAAGACACCGACACCTGTGGCAGAAAACCCAACATTCACCTCTGTGCTCTCTCCTAGGGGGACCCTCCCCCTCCCCAGCTATTTTCTGTTCCAACCCAAAGACACAGGTGGATGTGGGTAAATTGTGCCATGTCATTTCCAAACGATGTAAGTCTGTAAAGCGACGGTGGCAGACGGAAAAGTACCACGTCTGGCTTCTCATTGTCTCATGGTTCATTAGTCTGGGGAGTTCATGGTATGGCCCCCGGACTGGAGATGCCTAGAGTTTGGTCCAAGAGGCTAAGGGAGGCCCCGCCTGGCTCTATAAAGCAGGATGGCCCGCGCACAGGGCAGCTGTCATTTACGGTCCAGGCTGGCATGTAGCTGGGCCTCTCGCACCATGCGGTCAAATGAGCGCGTGTTGGTCTCCTCCCGCACCTTCTCCCGCACGTGGAAGGAGGCCCGGGCTGTGGAGCGAGCGCTCTCCAGCGCGCTTCGCCTCTCCCGAGACAGCTGCTCGCTGCGCTCCAGCTTGCGCCCGATGGCCTGCAGCAGCTCCCGGCGGCGGCAGTCTTCGTCGCGCTCCACCTTCTCCTTGTTGGCTCGCTGGGTCCTCTCCTTCTCCAGGCGAGTCTGAACCACGCGCCGGGCTTTCTGCTGCACCGCCTCTTCGGCCACCTGCGCCGCGTGCTGCAGCCGTCGCTCGCCTGCCCGCGCCAGAGCCTCCAAGTGCGCCTGATGCTCGCGCTCTTTGCGCTCGGCTGCCTCCTTAGCCCGCCGACCCTGCAGCTCCTCCTTCCGGGCTCGCTCCCGAAGCTCCCGGGCGCGCTGCTCCTGCAGCTGCTCGTAGTTCTCCTGCGCGCGGCCCAAGCTGGCCTCCAGGGAGCTCCGCAGGCCCTCCCGCTCCTCGTGCTGCTGCCGGACCCGGCCTCGAAGCAGCGCCTCGTGGCGCGCCCGCTCGGCCCGGCTCAGCTCCCGCTTCTCCCGCCGCAGCTGCCCCTCCTGGCGCTGCTTGGCCCGCGCCGCCCGTTGGGCGCGCTCCCGGCGGGCCAGCTCGGCGCGCTCCCGCCCTTCCTGCAGGCCCTCCTCGCGCTGCTTCAGGTTCTGCTCCTGCTGCAGCTTGCGCTGCCGGTCGTCGCGTGCTGCGCGCTCCGCCCTCTCCCGCCGCAGCAGGCCCTGGCGCTCCGCCAGCTCCCGCCGCCGCTCCTCGCTGCGCTCGCACTGCTGCTGCCGCCTCCGCGCCGCCTCGCGCTCCTCCCGGCCCCGGCGGCCCCGGCGCTCCTCCACCTGCGCCGCCCAGGCGCGCCGGCCCTGCTCCAGCGCGCGCTGCTTCTCGCGCTCCTCGCGCTCCCGCCGCTGCTCGGCGCGCACGCGCTGTTGCTCCCACTGGCCGTGGGCGGCGGCGCGCTGCTCCAGCAGCAGGCGCTCCTCCTGGTGTCGGGCCAGCATGAGGGCGGCGATCTTGCGGTCGCGCTCGGGAACCCCGCGCAGGCCTCGCTCGGCGCGCACTTGGCGCACGATGCGCTCCACGTGCTGAGCGGTCTGCGGCGAGTGGCTCAGGTCGCCGAGGCTGAAGCTGCGGGCCGTGAGTGGCGCCAGATCGAGAGCCGAAGGGCGGCCCAGGGGGTTGGGTGCAGACGACGCGGACCCCGCAGGGTAGCTGTGCCTGGCGGAAGCTCGAGGTGGCCAGCGAAGCTCCCGCAGGCTTTCCCCGCTGTAGGACCCCGAGGACGAGGCGCCGGATTCGGAGCTGAGGGCACCGTCCCGCCGGCGGGACAGCGAGTCCAGTGAGTGGCTCTTCCTACCTGTCCGAGCAGTGGTGGGCGGGGGTCGGGTCCTGGCGGGGGGACTGGGTGAAGTCCTTCGAGTCACCCGCGATGCGGGCGAGGCCGGGAGGCTGCTGCCGCTGCTGCAGCTGCTGCTGCTGCCCGCGCTCAGCGCCGAGGCCGGGGCCGGGGCCGGGGCTGCAGCCGGGCCCTTGGGTGTGAACAGGCGCCGCTTCTCCTCGCGCATGATGCGCTCGCGCTCGGCACGGCACTGCTGCAGCTTGGCGAGCCGCTCGGCCTCGTAGGCCTCGTACAGGCCCGTGGCCACGCGCATGGAGCGGCCCGGGGCCTCGCGCACCAGGTCAGCCAGGGCCCGGGGCAGCAGCTCCACTGGCTTGACCGCACAGCGGGCACATGCCTCCAGCGAGCGGGGGCTGGTCAGGACGTAGCGGCTGCCCTCGGCCTCGGGGCAGGCGAAGTTGAAGAGATCGAGGTGCAGCAGCGGGGACTGCTCCCGACGCCCACCTTCTGCCCCGCAGGGGACTTCGGCCTTGCGGGGCGCTGCGGCGGAGGCTGAGGCCGAGGAGGCAGCAGGCTGTTGGGCTCCCTGGGCATCGGGGGGCACGGACGCTGTGGCCCCATCCCCTTCTGACCCACCAGGCTCCGCTCCCTCTTTCTCCTCTTCTGGCACCGGGTCCACCATAGCTGAGTCTCGTCCTTTGTTGGAGTCCCTGAGATGACGGGGAGGGGGACATAGAGGAATGCATCTGAGAGCTGTTTCTCCCTCCTCAACCAATATTTACCCATCCCAAGTTAATCCGATTTCAGACTAGGCTCAGGGGCCTGATGGAACGTAAATCCTAAAACCAACGTCCTGAAAACCCGGGCTAAGCAGTTGGGGGTGGGGGTAGGGGACGCTGGGGCTCAATCAGCAGCCTCAGTGTTCCTCAGTCTTAGAACGCAGGGCCTGTGGGGAGACTCCATTGATGTGAGGCCCGCTAGATGCATCCCCTTCCTGCTAAGACTGAGGCGCAAGGCAGCAGCCAGAAAGGGAGGCGCTGGAGGATTCCCGGGAGGATTAGCTATTTGTTTGTAGCTTAGGCGGGCTGCTGGGATGCAGCTTTGCAGGCACACAAAAGGGGAAGGGGCCTGTTCATGCCAAAGTGCATTGCTGTGAGGGCCCCAGTTGCCTAGTTTATGGTTGATTTCCCACTGCCAAAAGGCCCCGGGGCGCAGGGCCCCTGGGAGATGGAAGAGCTGAGAGAAGTCTCCAAAGGCTCCTTTCTGAGTGGAGTGATGGATTCTTTCTCCTGCATCCCCGGCAGGGCTTGCTGAGAGCTCGGCCTGCTTCTTCTTCCAGCCCCCACCAGGTGTTTGCCTGGGATGCACAAGGCACCTGCATCCGACCAGATGCGCCCGATCTCCAAGGCTGAATGAATGTGCAGCTCAGGGTACCATCAACCCCAGTATGGTGGACTCAGACACCAGCCCCAGACACCCACCAGTTCCTTCACCGCATCTCAGGGAAGTGGGCTCGTAGCTCTGCAAACCCTGCCGCTCCATGCCGGGAGCTGCTAGGTCCCCGGGAGGGCTCACTTACCCCAGGTCCGGGCTCTGGCCCCCACGCCGAGGGCTTTTGTTCACCTCTTGCTGCTTTCCCCGGCGCCTCTTCAGTCCCTGCGCCGGCGGGGTCGGGTTACTGCCGGCTGCAGCAGCCAGCGTCTTTCCATGGGGGATTACGAACAGGGCGCACACATCCCAGATGCTACCTACCCCGGGGAGGGGGGAGTGCGACAAAGTCTCCCCAAAATAACGTGGCTCTGCTCCCTTGCTCACACTGATTCTTAAAAAAGGAAGCTGGGTTTCCTCGCCGCTGCATCCATCTCCACCTCTACCGCCAAGGTACCGCAGGTCTTTCTCTGCCTCTGGCGCCTCCTGGTGGCCACTTGAGGGTGTTCATTTGTTTGCTTAGAGGACTACAAAACAACTAAAACACAGTAACTACACATATTTATGTATGCATATGTAATGCACATATACAGGGAGGTGTGCATATAGCAATATCACGAGAAACCTAATCCTTGGGCCCCTTAGGTGGCTGGAATAAAATGGGTGAAATGGAGTATTTCTCAAAGGGATCCTGAGAAGCAAACCAACTAGACATCAAGTAATTGGTCAGAAATAGGACACCTGATCCAAACTGTGATTTTATTATTTAAGGAAAACAAAGATGGGAGAACGAATGAGAACAAAGTATAATGACACATAGATATGAAGATGCTGTTACTTTGTATGCTAACCTAACCTAAATTTTAAAAAAGCCAAACAAACACAACAAAAACACGCATATGGGTTTGAGGCAGGCAGAACGTAAGTGACCAATGAAATCAACTTCTGAATTGCTGGTTTTATATGCTAAAACAAGTTAGTACCATTTAATGAGTGCTGTTTGCTGACACCTCATCCCACTGCTTCCATTCTGAGTGGTAGTGGCCAAAGAGATTCCAGATTAGAATCCTCCAAGGAGAGGAGCGTGGTGTGGGTGAGATGTAGCATCAGGGAGTATGGTGAACTGTGCTGTTGAAGACTCTGGCAGGGAAGCTGTGAGAAGGGGAATATGAGTAGGGAAATGACTTAGATATATTTCATATTTTAAGAACATAACTCTAGCAACAAGAAAAAGACCAAGGAAGCCCAGTTACCCAACACGGGGAATGGAACCAAAAAGGGAGCAAAGGCGGGAAAAGAGGAGTAGGGGTTCTGTAAATAGAAAGAAATAACACTCGAAGATAAGGAAAGTAAAGGATGAAGGACGACTGCCTGGAATAGTAAGAGGCTGTGTGTGTCACGGAAAGGCAGTGGATCTAGGGGGAGGACCACCTGGTATGGGATACCAGTGTTGGACAACTGCTCCCCTCCGTCAGAGGAAGGCTGCTCAATAGGTAGCTGAGCAAGTCATATATGAGGTGGAGCTAGATTGAGGATATGTCATCACCAATGTACGGTTCCCTCGCTGGCTAGTTTTAGAAACTTGACACAAGCTAGAGTCATTTAAGATGAGGCGACCTCAGACTGAGAAAATGTACCCCCAACTGCTCTGTACACAAGACTGTGTTGCACTTTCTTAATTAGTGACTGATGTGGGAGGGCCCACATTTGAGTGGTTTCGTTTCTGGGCGGGTGATCCTGGGGCATAAAAGAAACCAGGCTGGGTAAGCCTTGGGGAGCAAGCCAGTAAGCAGCACCCCCCACTGCTGCTGTATCTGTGACTGTCTTCAGGTTCTTTCCTTGAGTTCCTGCCCTGACTTCCTTCGATGATGAAACGGTGATGTTGAACTGTACGCAGAGATAAAATCTTTCCTCCCCAAGTTGCTTTGGTCGTGGTATTCTACCACAGCAATAGAAAGCCTAAAAAAATAATATGAGCGAGATCACCCAGGGAGGAAAGATGCATTGATAAGAGGACGTCATTGATGGGACTTCAGAGGAAAAAGATGTTTCAATAAGACCAGTAAGGAGTAGAAGGGGAGTGTGCTGTGTAGGCAGAGCACTCAGAAGAATCCCCAAGGGCTACAGAGGTCCACATGGGTTTATTCTGGAATAGCCAAAGAAACTAACAGATACCAGCCTTGGGTAACATTGGCAAAAACAAAACAAAAACAAACAAAAAGAAAAAAATAAACCAGTGTGTTGTACTGGGAGCAGATGACAAGGCGCAATGGTGGCTGAGGAAGCGGGAGGTATTGATCCTTTTGACTCTTAGGTGATGATGTCACGAGCTGTAAGGTTTGACCTTTATCCGACTTACAAGCTAGCAAGTTAGCCTCCAGGGTGCATAGCTGCTGGCAGAAGACATGGTACTCCTGGGCCAGAAACAAAGCACTTTGTTACTCAGGTACAGCAAGAACACGAAGTTCACTTTTTCTTGATTGGAGAGTGGGATCAAGTAGACACTGCACACAAAATGGGCATATGTTACAGTTGGGGCGCTCTAATCCTTTAAAGGGGGCTGTAATGTTTAATCTTTATCATCTTGATTGGATTTAGGAACACCTCTAGGTGTGTCTGTGAGGGCATTTCCAGAGAGAGAAGACCCGTCTGAACGTGGGAGCATCATCCCATGATCCGGGGGCCGGGACTGAATGAAAGACTGGAATGAGAGGTGGGGGCGTGGCTCTGTTGGTGGAGAGCTTGTCTGACATGCACACAGAGCTGGGTTTGAGCTCCAACACCTTGTGAAACCCTGCACTCAGGAGGTGGGGGCAGTCAGAAGACTCAAGGTCATTGCCTCAGAGGCTAGCCTGTGCTGCATTGTAAAGACCCTGCTGTCTCAGAAAGGGACAGAGAAGGGAATGTGAGCTCAGCACCCAGAGTCTTACATTCGTACATCTCTGTTTCCTGACTGTGGACACGATGTGACCTGTCACTATGCCTTCCCATCATAATGGACTGTTCCCCTTTTCAAAATAAGTATTTTCCCCCTTAAGTTGCTTGTTTCAGATATTTGGCCATAGCAATGTGAAGAGTAACTAACACAGTAGCTAATAGCAAACATGGTCTTGCTTTGTCCCAAGGGAGACATTGTCTTAGCTATACCCTCTGAGCTGGGGGAAGCCGCTATCTCTGTTGTTCAAGGATGCTTGGTGAACAAGCATCTGTGCTGTAAAGTCTGCGAAAGTCTTTATAAGACATGAAGCATGAGATAGAAAAGGAGTCATTGGTCACAAGGTTAGTAAGAGGTGGGGCTGGGGTTTGGATCAGGATCTGTCTCATCCTGGAGTGGATGCCATGCTTTGTACTTCCACACTAAACTGTGAATCTGGAGAGATGTCGATTCAGGCGGTAATAAGTGGGGTGGACAAATCAGCATATCCATGTCTGGGTGTTCCTCTGCAGAGAATCCTGTTAAATTATCTTGCAGAGCTAGAAACACTATACAAGCAAACATTTTGAATGAGCAGTGGTAAACACCATTTATTTTGATTATTTTGGTAAACCATTTAGATATGGTAAAATTAATAGGAAGATGTGTGCATATGAATATGTATAATTATATACATTCATATTGTATAATATATATATTAAGGCATATATATATATATGCCTTAAATTTGCTGAAAATGCCCTAGAACAACTGATCCTCCCGACTCTACCTTCCAAGTGCTGGGATTACACAGAGGTGAAGGGCTGGTGCCATCCATCACAGGGAGATTCCCTGCATGCCAAAGTTCAAGGATGTTACACCCAGTTTCATTGTGGCACACAGTAGAGAAAGCAACACCCACATGCCCATGGTGGTAACACCGTAATGGTGAGGGAAGGTGGGCTTAAGAGGTGGATAGGTCAGGTGCAATTCTACCAGCCTGTGTTATTTCAGGCAATTTTTAAAATCCTTTTTATTTATGGTGTGTGTGTGTGTGTGTGTGTGTGTGTGTGTGTGTGTGTGTGTGTTTGCAGAGGCCAGAAGAGGTTATCAGATCCCCTGAAACTGGAGTTACAGGCAGTTGTACCCCAACTGCTGCACACCATGCTGCGGGGGGGGGGGGGAGAGGAGCAGAACTGAACTCAAGTTCTCTGGAAGAGCAGTAAGAACTTGTGACCCCTGAGTCATCTCTCTAGTCCCCTGACAAGGTTTTTTAAACCCCTCTGATGCTCACCTTTTTTTTTTTTTTTTGACTCTCATCTTCTTAAGTACAGACTATT